CAGCTGTGCTCAGCCTGTGGCAAATTCTTCGGCCACCCTTGGTGAGGGAAAACCACTGTGCTTTCAGAGTGGATCTGATTTTCTAGAAACAGCTAAAAGTCATTTTAAGCTAAATGGTTACTGGTGGGAAGACAAATAACACAGATTTCCCTCTATGATTTGTAACCATCTTAAAGGCAGGTGACTATTATGAAAAACAAAGTATTTTTTTTTTTCAATTAGTGCCTTGAGGGGATTAAAAGTCTCATTATTTTAAAGACAATAATGTCTACCATGGAATCCTACTAAAGTACATTTTTAGAAGAATTTAAAATACATCTCCTCCAAGAAATAAGTATTAGTGCTGCTTTTTCCATGCAGGCCTGTCTTTTGTAAGAAAGGGAGAATGGCCTGTTCGATTTATTCTGCTGCTGAGTAGGCAGTTGTCCATACAGCCTGATGGAGCCCAGTCTCCACAATCCTGGAGTCTCAGAGCTGCGTATTAAACCCAGAAACTGGGCCCTGTCTAGGAGACTGTTTGTCATGAGGCTTTCTGCAGAGACTTCAGATCTAGGAGAAACACCAGGCAGGAGATCAGCTCTATTCTTGTTTCTCAAAGAAGGTGTGGAGTCTAGTGCTCCCACCAGGGTGGGACTCAGAGGGAGGGGCCAGGAGGTCAGAGCATCAGAGGCTCTGATATTTGGTCCTTTGGGTTCGGGGTTAAATGGCCATTGCTTCCCTGGAGAGGAACAGGAGAGCCAAAGCCTCAGACCAAGCCTGACTGAGGTGGGAGAGGCTCAAGAGAGCCCTTCCCACACCAGCAAAGCCAGTCCCTGGAGGTCAGGCCTCAGGTGCTCAGCAGCCCTGAGCTCGTTGTGCCCTGAAAAAGGCCTCTCCTAAAACTAAAAAAGAACTCCTTTATTTTGGAGCAAAAGGGAGACACCCCTTGGCCCTCTCTCCTCCCCCGTCTCATAGGATACTTGCTGACTTCAATATTATCTGAGCACAAAGGGTCACTTCAGTTGGAACAAGTCTGAACTAATCTTTTTAAATATGGAACAAGGCCAGGCCAACCCTCACTTGGCCCTGAGTGCTTGGCAACTCCATTATTCCCTTGATCAACAGTATTCTGGAGCTGGAGGAGTTCCAGCTAATAAATAGAGAAGGAATAAAAGAATTTTTTTAGCCCTGGCCAGATGGCTCACTTAGTTGGAGCATCGTCCCATTACCAAAAGGTCATGGATTCGATCAGGGCACATACCTAGTTTGCTCAATTGATCCTCAGTTGGGGTACATTTGAGAGGCAATCAATTGATGTTTCTCTCTCACATTGACGTTTTCTCTCCTCCTCCTCCTCCTCCGCCTCCTCCTCCTCCTTCTTCTTTTCTCAAATCAATAATATTCCCTTGATCAACAGTATTCTGGAGCTGGAGGAGTTCCAGCTAATAAATAGAGAAGGAATAAAAGAATTTTTTTAGCCCTGGCCAGATGGCTCACTTAGTTGGAGCATCGTCCCATTACCAAAAGGTCATGGATTCGATCAGGGCACATACCTAGTTTGCTCAATTGATCCTCAGTTGGGGTACATTTGAGAGGCAATCAATTGATGTTTCTCTCTCACATTGACGTTTTCTCTCCTCCTCCTCCTCCTCCGCCTCCTCCTCCTCCTTCTTCTTTTCTCTCTCAAATCAATAAACATATTTTCAGGTGAGGATTAAAAAAATAGAAATTTTCAAAAATCACTAATACTCCAAATTAAATAATGGATGTAGGTAATAATCATCAATGGATACTAAAATAATCAGATGAAAGATTCACAGGGAACTTTGTGGGTTGACACTACTGAAACCTACTGATCAATCTTGGCATCATTAAAAGTGAAACAATCAGACAGTATATGCCCGATGGTAACAGTGCCACTATGAAATATTGGTGCCTAAACATACTGATTGACTCTAAGCAAGGCCCTAAAGATAACTACTAGTTTACAGGAAAGACAGAGGGTAGAGGAACACATTCCCTTACTCCACAAGAAAGCAATCAGACAAATACAGAACACAGACAATGCTCAGAACAAATATTAAATGTATTTTTATTTGCTAAATCTAGCAACCCTACACCCAAGCCAGAAGACGTGAAGCCATCCTGAATTCCTTCCTCTTTTTCCATTTTTGATTGCCTTCCAGGTCTTGCTGATTCTTTTCTATATTTCTCATTCTGTCCTCCCTTCTCCATCTCCATGTGACTTTCCTACTTTGAGCCATTGCCCTCTCTCTCTTAAAAGCTCCTTTAATTGCCTTCCACTTGGCCTTCCTGTTTCCAGCCTCATCCCTTCTAATTCATGCACAACAGGTAAACTGGTCTTTCTAAAAGGCAAACCTGACCACAGCACTCCTCCGTTTAAAATCCTTCCCTGGGCCAGAACCGGTTTGGCTCAGTGGATAGAGTGTCAGCCTGCGGACTCAAGGGTCCTGGGTTCGATTCCGGTCAAGGGCATGTGCCTTGGTTGCGGGCACGTCCCCAGTGGGGGGCGTGCGGGAGGCAGCTGATCGATGTTTCTAACTCTCTATCCCTCTCCTTCCTCTCTGTAAAAAATCAATAAAATGTATTTAAAAAAAAAAAAGAATAAAATCCTTGCCTGGTTCCCCATGGCTTTCAGGATAAATTTGAGACTGATTTTAGTTGATAAAGCCCTCGGTCATTTGATTTCTCTCTCTATATATATAGTCCCATTCTTCTCAGGCTCTAACCCAAGGACCATTTGGGTATTTAGAACATCATTCTCAGGCTATACAACATTATCTTAACTTAAAAAATGGCCTGCTATATTCGGTCAAACGTTTAATTAACTCACTCTATAATTAACTCACCCTAATGCTTTGGCAGGGCCAGACCAAATGATTTTGCAGGCCTTATGGGGCCTGTGGGCTGGATGTTCCCCTCCCCTGCTCTAACGCATCACACATGCACCGGCCACATCAAGCTCTGGGAGCCCAAAAGAGTGCCACACCATCCCTTTTGATGGTGTCTCTCTATTCTTATTAATACCACCATCCCCCACACATCCTACTCTTCTCCTTTGCCTGGCTAAATCCTACTCATTCTATTAAAAAAACAGTTTAAAGGTCACTTTCTCCAAGAAGTCTTAACTTATTGTTTTAAGCACATATTTTTGCTCCTTGACACACTGTATGGTAATAGTTGACTTATCTGTGTGTTTCCCCAACTACATCATTTTAAGTTCCTTCAGAGCAAGGACTGTGTGTTATCTATATAAAGTCAGCAACTGATACAGTAATCAGCACTAGTAAACAACTAATAAATGTTTATTAGATGAATGATGGTTCTTTAGCATAAAATGTTCCTACTCTCATCTCTGGCTGATCCAGCGTGTCTTAGTTGGACACTCCCCTCCATTTTCAGATGTGGACCTTCCTGCCTGTTGTATCTTTATCCTCACCGAAACTCTGGGCTTTGATTTCCGTGGCTCAACCGTGATGAAAAAGCTTCTTGTCCACTCCATTACGCTACTACTGAATGGATGTGGAATAAAGAAATGACACCTTACCAAGTGAGGCCCTAGCCAGTTCCCCACCCAAGCTGAGTTTCAGATCATGATACCAGCTGACATCAGGCAGCTGTTAGATGAGAGATTTTCGCCTGCCGTCCCAACCCCCATGATTTGCCCCCAGCCCTCCCTCATCCCCTGGGGAACAACTTCTCTTTTTGTTTTGGGCCACAGCAGTGTTTAGCAGGAGCAGACACCATGCCTTGTTTGAGCTGTGATCTAACACCAGCTGACAGGTGGGTTTCGGGGGTGTCTCTGGGGCCATGGCCTGTTTAGTGGATGTACCACTCTAAACTCAATTACAGGAGACTTTCACGCTCCATAGGCAATTCCAGGCCCTTTTTGATAAAACTCTGGTGAGTAAATAAGTCATGATGGTGAGAGGGGCTACCATTTAATATTCATTGAAGTACACATGTTTGGAAATTGGAAGCAGAGTTTAATCCATTTTCATATTTATATCAACATAAAGCTTTAAAAAGGATTCCTCTTTTTCTCCAGCATTCTTGTCAAGTTCTCCTTTGGAAAGCTAAAGGTAAACCAGACATACATTTTAAAATTAAAAATATCTAAAATTATAATTATTAAAGTGTGAGTTTGGGATGTTAATTTTCAACTCAGAACCAATTCTTGCATTTCCTTTGAACTCCTGGGACAGTAGGTAACAGATAAGCCATTGCTATTTCTGATGGCTAGATTTTTGGATTTAACTGTGTAATAAGAGCTCAGCAAAACGAAGAGATTCAGAAGATTCTGGTCTCAGCCCCAAGATATTACAATTTAGGGGAATGTTTAATAGCCATCCCAAGTAAATGCAAAAGCACCCCTTTTTAAATAAAGGTAAAATTCACAAAATAGAAGTGTTCATGCTCACCAATAAATTATAGGACTGTTCATTGAGGGAGGGCTGAAATATGAGGAGAAAGAGTTAACACAGTGAAGGGTGTAGAGCACTGTTGTGTTGTACCCTCCACTCCCCATTTTTTTTTATGGGGATGAATGTTTAAATATGGTGCTATGGTTGAAGGCATTTCTTTTAATAATGCAACACATGGCTTCCTGGGGGGACAGCAGTTGATTTGGAAACTGAATATGGTGCACTCTAAATTCTCCTCCCCGAGGAAGGCTGATAACTAAGTGCCATGAGCTAGCATGGGGACTCAATCTGTCAAATCAACTTGCTGGAAAAGCCCCATGCGGAATCTTCTCTAGTCTCCGGGAGCTAATGTGAGCAGACACTTGTGACATTAGACAGTGTAGCAGGCCTGGCATGAAGGAAAAGTTCACCACCCACCGACAAGGTGGTCTTTAGATAAAGAAATCAGTGCAAATTTGTTAATGTAACAACTTGGACAAATACGCTTTAAAAAAACAGCTGCTCTATGGGGAGAAAGGATCAAAAGAAAAAGAAGGCAATAACAGTACTTGGAAGCTTTCTTTGGGCTTTCTGTACCTTTGAGGCATTGCCTTTTCTACTGGTCCTTCTTCTAGGCTGGGGTATCTTCAGTTAAGTGAGTGAGTCCCAAACTTTGCCACTCCACAAGCCACTGCTCCACCTAAAACTGAAAAAGGAAAGTAAGGGGGGAGAAAAGCAGTGAAGAGGGAAAAAATTCTGTGCCTTTGCCTTACTGGGATAAATAACATCTTTCCTCTTTCAGATGGGTGATCAACCGACTTTCTAAGTGAGAACTGTTATCTATCTGATGTTGGTGCATTAGTCCTGGAGGAAAATTGAAGTGATTATTTCCTCTGTGTCTGACACAAAATATAAGTACATGTCTATAAGTGAATCAAATATTTTAAGAATTAAACAGCATTCTAGGGGGAAATATAGTTATTAATATCAGATAGACAACTCTGATTGTGTTGAGTGTCTGACTTAGGGAGGTGGTTTTGCCAGTTATTTCCCCTTGGTGGGGTGAATTTAATAAAAATGGAAATTTGCTATAGCATGCTTATTGCATATTTAATTTAGAAAATAATCTGATACTTCTTTGAGTAGGACATGCTGAATCAGCTCTTACACGGCAGCTGTGAGAGCACGGGTTTTGGATAGAGACACCTGAATTCAGGTCCTGGTTCTGCCACTCACTAGTTTGTGATTTGGGGAAAGTTGTTTAGGAAAAACATTTACCTCATAAGATTATTCTGAAAACACTTTTCTCATAGGAGTATTATAACATAGGTTAATACATGGGAAGTTCTGAGGTCAGTGTCTGTGATATACTAAGTGCTTCAGAAATTTGGCCACAGTTATTATTTAAATGAACCTAAATGGGTTCCCAGAGTTTTTTTTTACTGATTTTAACCAAAAAAAGGGGGGAGTTCTGTGGTCCAAAAAGCTTACAAATCAGGTTTAACTTAATTAACCTTTTTTAAAATATAGTATTTTCTATATTAAATGTGTATTATGAATATCCAAGGGAGAATTTAGTTTCAAATATTTGACCATATAAACCTTTTTCATAGCTGATGCTGTTCCCTAAGTGAAAAAACAACAGCATCCTAACCTCTGGTTCAGAAGTTAAGGAATTTTTGAGTCATGGGACCTGAACCACTAGGACTTAATTTAAAGCATGGTAATTGGTTATCCTATCAGCCTCATAGGTCTCAAAACACTCCCTTTTTAGAACAACATTTTGTAAAGTGGGATTGGTAGGAGACAGAATATGTACTGTTAAAACACAGACACTGGATTTGGACAGTCCAGGGTTTCAATTTCCCAAACAAGCTATTTAATATCTCTAAGCCACAGTGTCCTCAGCTATTGAAAGGACAGTAATAGTGATATTTACCTCCTAGGCTTGCTCTATGAATTAAATCAGGTAATGCCTGGCTCTTAGCTATTAATGATGTATTTATTCCAACAGTGGGGCTAATGTTTGTCAACAAATAATGAATTAGTTATTCTATTCTCAACTACTGTACTCATTCAGAGCCCTTGGTGCCTGTAAGGTTGCAGTAAAAACACACAATAAAAAAAACCAATGGAATGGGAATAAGCATCTGTGAGTTTTAAAGCACCCTTTGTGCTTGATTAAATAGTTAGTTGATGAACATATATGACATGTTTACCAAGATTACCACAACGCTCTGTGCTTAGTTTTCTGTGAAAAACAACCATAACAGCAGCACACCTTGCCTACTTGTATCAGAGTTACTGTGAGAAACAGAAATGCTTACATACATATGATTTTCTTAAACTATAAAGGCCTATAGCTTTTTCAGAAATAATTTATTACATGTTTACTATAGTCTAGGCCAGTGGTCAGCAAACCGCGGCTCGCGGCTCGGCAAACGACGGCTCGCGAGCCACATGCGGCTCTTTTGCCCCTTGAGTGTGGCTCTTCCACAAAATACCGGCTCTTCCACAAAATACCGACTTCTGCGCATGGGCCACGAAGTTTCAATTGCACTGTACGTGCGCGCCCGCATGTGGTATTTTGTGGAAGAGTCACACTCAAGGGGCCAAAGAGCCGCATGTGGCTCGCGAGTCGTGGTTTGCCGACCACGGGAGGCACTGTGGTAGGTCTTACATGTGATACCTCATTTTAATCCTTACTATGAGGTGGTATGTTTATACCTACTTTAGAGATGAGGAGACTGAGGCTCAGGGAGGCTAAGTACTACTAATTTTTCCCAAGCTCACCTGGCTGATAGAGCCAAGAATCAACTCCAGACCTGTCTGACTTGAAAGTGCTTAGAACCACTGTGCTTTAAAAAATAATAACATTGCTCGGCCGGCGTGGTTCAGTGGTTGAACCAGGAGGCCACGGTTCGATTCCCGGTCTGGTCACTTGCCTGGGTTGGAGGCTCGATCCCCAGTGTGGGGCATGCAGGAGGCAACCGATCAATGCTATTGTCTTATCATTGATGTTTCTATCTTTCTCTCCCTCTCCTTTCCTCTCTGAACATAATAATAACATTAAAACACATTTTAAGTTAGAGATTAGTATTGGCCACATACAATTCATCTCTCTGGCAGGTCTACAGACACCTTTTTGATGTTGTAAAACTCCTTAACTTGGACAATAGCCACTCAATGAGTGAAGATGAAGCATTGGGTAGGAAATAGAGTGGTCAATACGGAATCCAGTGTCTTAACTGGATGATTATTTATAGACACTGGCTAATTGGATTAACTTTCCCTGTGACTTAGGTATATTTGCCATAATTATTACAATGACTAGCATGTTTGAGGTCACAAACTCCAGAAAGTCCAGTCACCTGTGTTAAGTGATCTCTACCTCCTGAGAGTTTCTGGATGACAAGTTGACATGCATGGCAAGTAGTTTCATGAACTGCAATAGAGCAAGGTCTGTCAGAGAAGGAAAATCTCTATTAATCATATGCTATAAAACACTTTTTGTTAGTTACATATATTCCTTTACTTTCATTTCCCAAGAATAGCTCAGCTGTCAAAGCATTTCCATGATTTCCATAGATTCGTCAAATACTGTGCGATCGAATTATTGCTCTGAGAGAAGCTACAATTAAAACACATTAATCATTGTAACAAAGGATCCTTATTGAAGCTGACAAAGATGGTGAAATCTGATGAATAATTGGTCTGGTTAATCTTTTAAAAAAGTGAATTAAACTGCTAACAAGTTAAATCACTGTGATTTTCAAAATAAGCCTCCAGGGTGAGCAGAGAATGGGAATATTATCATCATTTAAAAAAAGATATTTGCTTTCTTCTTCTCACCTCTCGACTTGCACTGGAGGCCCAGGGTTAGAATTAGGGGGACCCCGAGGACCAGCTGGCAGAATGAAGTTGGTCCAAGTGTGAGGGCATGTTCTTCACTTTCCTCTTCAATGATTCCTCAATATTTCTAAGAGAGGCATACAGTGGATAGAAGAAGATCCAGAACTAATATGGCACCCACTTACCAGCCATTCTCAATGACTTCAAGTGGACCCATCATGTGGTTCTGATTTCATCCCCACTCTAAGCCAACAAACCATGACAATGAGGTCACTCTGGTATAATATCCCCTGATGCCCGTTTTTCAGTCAGATCACTTATCCTTCTAGATACCTCTCCTATTTGCATTTCAATTACTGTGGAAAATATACTATGCTCTGAAATAAACTGAGATGAGCAAATATGAACTGGTAATCCATTGCAAATGGACGGAGGAGGACTTTTGAGCTAAAGTCTTAACTCGGGCTAGGCCTCCACAATTTTTGGGAGTTTTAGTGGATGCTGTGATGAATGGTCCAGACCCGCTTCAGGAAGAAAGGGGTTATTCCCCCAGCTGCTGGGAGTGATGATAGATTTGGCCCTCCGCTGTTACCCTTGAGTAAAGAAAACTGAACACACTCTTCAAGGTCATATATACTTCTTTATAGGGGTAGCTGATGTCCAATTATGGGGCTGGAAAGACTGGCCTGTTGCCACAGTTCCCTGTGGGGTTGGCTAAAGTCTTTGTTGGGATTGCAATACTGCCCACTTTCTCCCCTGGGGTCTTGACCAAGAAAAATCTGTTAAGAGAATAGGTAATACCCACAAAATTAATTTGCCCTGGGATCTCCTATCACTCTGCAATTTCCAAGTCACTTTAAACTCTTTAATCTCTTGGTGATGCTATTGCCTAGGTCATTGTGAGAAAAAGCCAAATTTACAATGCTCTTGCTATGAATCAGATCCCTATCTCTATCTTAGGTTTCAACCTAGAAAATCTTAACAAAACTATAAAGTATCAAAGAAAAGAAACAGACTAAAGTGGGCCTCAGAGAAAAGCGAAGTGGAATTGGCTCAGGATAAAGAAGTTCTATTAACTCCCTTCCAATGCAAAAAGTCTATTGTGTGGAAACTGTTCAACTCTTCTTTGACTTCCTATTGGAACAAACAAGATTGAAGAAGGAAAAATTTTGGCTAGGAGATGTACTGCAGATGCTTTTTATAGGTTCTAAATCACTTTACACATTTCTTTCCATCCTTTTCTTTTTCTTTTTTTTTTCATCCTTTTCTTTTTTTCTTAAGTAAACAATACTATTCTACCCTAGCTCTGGCCCCTGAGATGCCATTTAGGCCCGACATCAAGCTAAGCCTGATTGAGAAGTATGCAGATGAAAATTAATAAATAAATAAATAATCCAAAATACACTCATAAAATTAGGCCAACCAGCCTCTTCAGTTTTTTTGTCTTTTTGTACCTTTAGCCTCAGAAGGGGCAAGCAGGGGGCCTCAGACTAGGGATAATTGGCTGGTCTTAAGGTGCTCAATATCATGGACAACCAAGTTCCATGTCTTAGTACTCAGAAAAAGTTGATTCAGAAGGGCAAAAGTTCCACTTTAAGATACTCCCATTTTCTTCTTCCAGATTCCTCAATATTTGTAGAAAGAATTCGTTTTAGTTTTTTGAAAGCATTGTTTTCTGTGTACATGTATGTGTGCATGTGAACATTAATGTCGTTAGGTGTTTCCCAGCATCTAGAAGGGTTCAGGAATCTGGAGAAGGCGCTGCGGTGTAAATTAGTAAGTAGACTAGAAATATAACATAAATTTGTAATCCATGGGGGATCCAGAGGAAGCTTAGCTATAGGAACCAAGTTCTTCTGAATCTCCGGACCCCTCGCTCTTTATTAACACAAATTGTCCTAAGGCAGGGTAGACATACATTAAGGTTTGGTATACAGTAGGCATTGTTAGTTTTGGGGGAACTGCCTTTGGCTGGTTGTTCAGGTGTTTGGCCAGCAGGAGGCAATAACATGTAGATTAAAATGCCCTCAGCTGTCTGGCAACAGGCAATAATATATGCAAATCTTTAGGTGTGGGGAAATGACCTCAAGCTATTCCAGTAGGTAATAACATGTATTCAGCCCTGCTGAATATAGAAGCCTCAAGGTTCCATCAACCTTTTGATGAAACTTCTTACATTTATGACATGGTGGAATTAGCCTCCGGCAGAACATATGCACACATCTGTACACCAAGTCTCTAAATAGCGTGCATATGGGGCGTTCCTCTTCCTAGTGGGAGTTCAAAGAAAGGGAATCTTGATAGAAATGGTAGAAATATTAGTCTTTGAAATTCACCATAAGATTCAATCCACTGGTTTGGTGTGGCAAATATACTACATCAAGTCTTAACTCCTCTGTTGGGAGATGCTGCATGTTACCATGGCATCGCTGTCCATGGTGCTGACATCACTGAGCTAAGTAGGCATGGATGTTTCTCTTAATTCTGAGACACTGGTGAACTGAAATGCAGTTTACAGAAGCAGAAGCAGTTTTACTTAAGCATGTTATCTAAATTATAGTTTTGGGTCTCCGGATCACTGAATTGACAGAAACACATTATCTAGAGCCCTCGGGTCTTGGGACCACTGAGTCAACAGGGACATGTTATCTGGAGCCCTCTGACCTTGGGATAATTGTGCTGTCCTTCCCAGGTACAGAAGAATGTGCTTCGATAACCAGTATGACCACAACCAATGGGATATTCACATTACAATCAATAGGGTATTCAATTGAATGGGATAATTGATATAATTCAGAAAGTCAAAATAACTTTCCTATTATTTTAGCAAGCAAATAAGTACAGAAACCAAACAGCAGGGTTAGAGTTAAACTACAGTTTCTACCTGAGATGATTGCTACCATACTTCATTTGACTTCCAGCACACATTCTTAGCAGCAGTGAGAGCAATTGCCTTTTCAACCCTCACATGCCACTGTCATTGCCCTTTATTTCTTAGCTCATTCTGGTTTCCAGACTGCAATCCCCCTCACCTGTTAGGTTTTCCTTTCTGCTCATAAAAAATCCCACCCAGATTCCAAGGCCCAGCTCCTACTCTGCCTCCTCCACGAAACTTTCCTTGATAATCCAATTTAGTTTTCCCTCTCCTCTAAATTTTTTCAGGATTTATTATTTGGCATTTCACCTTAGACCACAGCACATCTGAAAGGGAATCTCAATTTTAATTCTGTGCCAATGTTGTACAATGTAAAGAGCATGTGTTTTAGTATTAGACAGTTCTCGATTTCAATTCTAGCTCCTCCATTTTGTAGCTTAAGTAAGGTACTTAACTTTTTTGGAGCCTCATTTCTTCCCTAAGAAAAAATTATATTAACACATTAAACACCAAGCCTGTTTTGTCTTCCTTTCCGTTTAGCCCGCGATATCCGATTTTACCGATATGCTGGCGGCACCAGTGACTGAACGGTCCAGACGGAAAGTATAGTGTCAGTCACCGGTGACTGACATGGTGCTTAACGTGTTAACCTATATAGTATGAAATTATATGTGCAGTATACATTACTTGGCACACAATAGGCTCTCAATAAGTTCTTGCTCTCTTCTCTTCCCTGCTGTAGCCTTCATTTCATATAGCACAATGTTGAACACATAGTAAATGTGGTTTTACTGAAATGCATACAAAATTTAGCCTGTCTACTCAACCTTGCTATGTGATCCATCTGCAAAAAACAGGCCATATCTGATCAAGCACATTCTGGGCAGAGAAGTGTCCACAAAATCTGAGAGCAAACATAAGAGAGACCATTTGGAGACATTGGCTCTTGAAATGGTTATCCTGATGGTTAATTTTATGTGTCAACTTGAATAGACTAAGGGATGTCCAGATAGCTGGTAAAACATTATTTCTGGGTGTATCTGTGAAGATGTTTCCTGAAGAGATCTAACATTTGAATAGGTAAATTAAGTAAAGAAGATCAAGCTCACTAATATGGGCATCATCCAATCTACTGAGGATTTGAACAGAACAAAAAGGTGGAGGAAGGCTGAATTTCCTCTCTACTTGAGCTGGCACATCCATCTTCTCCTGCCTTTGGACATCAGGGAGCTCCTGGGCCTCAAGCCTTTGGATTCAGACCAGGACTTACACTATTAACCTCCCACCCCCATCCCCATTCTTGGGTCTTTGGACTTGAATTACTAGTAGGTTGGATCCTACAGTTCTCAATTCTTCAGATTTGGACTAAATTACACCATCAGTTTTCCTGGTTCTCCATCTTGCAGACAGCAGTTTGTTGGACTTCTTGGCCTCCACAGCCCCACGAACCAATTCCTATAATAAATCTCCTCATCTGTCTGTCTGTCTATATATCCTATTGGTTCTGATTCTCTGGAAAACCCTAACTAATACAGTCATGTTCTCAGTTAAGGTCTGATGAATGAGTACAAATACTCTGACAAAGAACATATTTGGATGTGGAAATCTGATTCCTGAACAACCTGTGTCCCAAACTCTTTAAAATTCAAAGCAGTGTTGGAGAAATTTCCACTCTCTGCAGCATGCCAAATTTTGACATTTTTCCTCCTGACATTTTTTATTTTCTATTATCAGA